AGAAAGATAATAGGCTTAAGAGAAAGAGTAAAGAGAGAAAGAGAGAGAGGGAGAAAGAAAGAGAAAGAGAGTGAAAGAGAGAGAGAGAGTAAATTAAAGAAAGATAAAGAGCTTGAAAGAAAGAGTAAAGAGAGAGAGAGAGAAAGAAAGAAAGAAAGAGAGAGAGAGAATTAAAGAAAGATAAAGAGTTTGATAGAAAGAGTAGAGAGAGAGAGAGAGAGAGAAAGAGTGAGAAGGGTAAGGAGTAAGAAAGCAAGAGTAAGAGAGAGAGAATGGCAGAGATAGGGGGAAGGATAGATAGAGAGAGAGTGAGAGAAATACAAGGATGAATCTCACCCACTGGAGTGGATGCGGAGTAGGATCGTAGGCGTCAGTGGTTTGCTCTTCTTTCCGCATCAGTTTACGTCGAAATGAGTTGATGAGGGAATGAAAGAATGAGTGAATGAATGAATGAGTGAATGAGTGAATTAATGAATTAATGAATTAATGAATGATTGAATAAATGAATGAATGAATGAGTGAATGAATGAATGAATGAGTGAATTAATTAATGAGTGAATGAATGAATGAATGAATGAATGAATAAATGAATGAATGAATGAGTGAATAATTGAATGAGTGAATGAGTAAATAAGTGAATGATTGAATGATTGAATGAATGAGTGAATGAATGAATGAATGAGTGAATGAGTAACTAATTGAATGAGTGAATGATTGAATGAATGAATGAATGAGTAAATAATTGAATGAGTGAATGAGTGAATGAGTGAATAAGTGAATGATTAAATAATTGAATGAATGAATGAGTAAATAAGGGAATGAATGAGTGAGTGAATAAGTGGATGAATGAATGAATGAGTGATTGAATGAATGAATGAGTGAATGATTGAATGAGTGAATAATTGAATGAGTGAATGAGTGAATGATTGAATGAGTGAATTAGTGAATAAGGGAATGAGGGAATGAGTGAATGAATGAGTGAATGAGTGAATGAGTGAATTAATGAATGAATGAATGAATGAGTGATTGAATGAATTAATTAATTAATGAATTAATGAATGAGTGAATGAGTGGATGA